TTCTATACAGTTTTTTTTGAAATACCAGCCTAATGAGTACATCTAAGCCCGGATGGTGAAAGGTTCCCTGGTGTAACCACAGCAACCAGCCCCCAGCCGCCACGCTACAGAACACACAGGCCTGGCCCTGCTGGGGCTCGGGTGGCCAATAACTGGAGGCCTGCCTCTTGGAACAAATACAAACAATTAGGGAGAAGGTGCTTGAGGCGTTCCAGGACGGAGGGGAGGGGGCGGGAGGGAGGCGGGATGGCTCGGCCCAGCTGCTCTCAGGAGCCCTTGAAATGCCTGGTGCTGGGGAGGAGGCCGGCCAGGCAGCTTAGCTTGCAGCCTGAAGGGCCCTTTCAAGGCTAAGGGACAGGCTGAGCCGCAGGCACCCAGGGCCACGTGTCCAAAGTGGAGCACCACCCACGCGTGGGCATTTGAATTTAAAGTAAAAGGAAAGAACATTTCAAATGCAGCTCCTGTGTGCCAGCCACCGGGTGGCCAGGCGCAGGTCTAGAATGGGGCCAAGCTGGCCCTCCCACCCCTGGCCTGTTGCTCTATGGCCTAGGAGCTAAAACCGGCTTTTAAATTGTTTTTAAGGGAAAGAAGAGAAGAGAAGGGGGAGCAGAGAAAGGGGGAGAGGAGGGAAGAGAAGCAGCAACAACAACTCTATGTGATGCACAAGACCTGGAGTATTTACTCTCTGGACATTTATAGAAAAGGTCTGCGGACCTGGGGGTAGGACATCCCCATCACTTGCACTAATTTCTGTTGGACAGCGCCGACTTGGAAGGCAAAGGAGCGGCGGGGGCGGGGGGCCAATGAGCCCCCTTTTTCTTAGAGGAGAAACGCAAGCATTCATTATGCTCCACTGCATATTTAACACGGGGCCCAGGGCTTTCCATGCCCTCCCTCGTTTTAGCCTCACAACAGCCCTGGTGGGCGGGTGAGGGCCCAGCTCTCTAACGTACGGATGACGAAGGCCAGGTGTGTGCCAGGTGAGCAAGACTCTGCCAAAAAGCGAATGCCTAATCAACCAAACCGAGCAGCACATAGAGACCACAGGTAACAACACAAAAAGACAAGAAGGAAATAGACTCAAAATGCCACCAGGGGTAGGTGAGGATGTTTTCTCCTCATCACAGACCTGCACGGCGTTGTCATATTGTCTTTCTACATCATAATAAAATGACTAGTATTTTAAAAACTTAGAGTGGGGACTCAAAGCCCAGCTCCACGGGGTACTGACTGACCCCCTCTGAGCCTCAGTTTCCTCATCTGTAAAATGGGGGCGATAACAATGGGCATATGGCACTGGGCCCTTGAAATGTGGCCGCTGTGGAGGAGGAACTAGCCTCAGAGAAGCGCTGGGGGTGTAAATAAGTCAGAGCGCGATTTACATGCCGGCTTTCATTTTCTAATTTCATCCTCGGTGGAAACTTGTGTTTCTTTTCCTCACCGGAGGAGAGAGAGAGGGGTGAGAGAAACATCAATCGGCTGCCTGCTGCTTGTGCCCCAGCTGGGGATGGAACCTGCAACCCGACATGCGCCTTCACTGGGAATGGAACCAGCCACCTCTTGGTGCCCAGGACGCCGCCCCACCCGCTGAGCCAGCGGCCAGAGCTGTGGAAACTTTGCAGATGGGGCTTTTCATTCCCATCTGAGAGGTGAGGAGACCGAAGCGCTGAGAACTGAGTGGTCAGAAGCCTCACCACTAGCAAGAGGAGAAGCCAGTTTCCATACCTGGTTCTGGCCCCAGGTGGATCTCCGTGGCACCGTCATGGGACTCATAACACGGGTGCAGCAGGAGGATGGGAGGGAGCTTTGCTCGCTTTTCCCACTGACCCTGGAAGTGGGGGGCGGGGGGCTGTTCAATCTTCAAGATCCTTTTAGACCCACATTCATTCCAGAAGTGTTTACTGAGCGACTACTATGTACCAGGACACATGGAGAGCAGCAGACAAAGGCTCCTGCCTCCTGGAGCTGACCTTCTAGTGGGAGCAAAACTGTAGCGTGTGAGACAGCAAGACGCCTGTGACAGATGTTCGGAAGGAAATGCTACCCCGGGGGGGGGGGGGGCGGGGGTGTCAAGCCACAGGACGTCACAGACAAGGTGACATTTACACTGATACCCACTGATTTGGCCTCAAACTCATTTG